TAGCGGTTGACACGGAGGTGTGCAACATAAATGGCTGTAAGGGGCGCCGTTCACAACGCCGAAAACAACGAGATGCCGAATTGTTCGACTCACGGACGTTGAGTTACGGACATCAAGTTACGGTCATCCTATTACTAGTACGTAAATGACCACGCCCATATGTTAGAAGCCACGCCCACTTTTGCGAAATCAAGCCCAAATTGTAACTCAATTTTCAATTAACAGTTAACCGAAAAAGCCGCGGGCGTGGTGTGATGTTTTCGATACATGATGTCCGAAACTCGGACAATTCAGCATCTCACAGACAACAGTTGTCGATTTGAACCACATCCCTACGTACGGTGATTCTGAGGTCACAGAAGCGGTTCGTCTTTAGAGAACGGAGCATATTGTTATATTTTCAAAGTTGACTTGTCAATGAATTATTCAATAAATAATATACCATTAACATTTTTTATTTAATTATTAATATAATGAAAATGGGAATTATGTTAGAGAACATTTCCTAATATAAATTCCAATTAATAATTGATGTAAACGCATTAATAAATCATTGTCATAAAATTCACACAAATAAAATTTTCCCAATAAATTATAGTTATGTATATTAAAACGGAGGTGAAAAAGAACAATTATTGGTCGTTATTTATCAACTAATAGCGCAGATTAATGTAACACTTACAGATTTCCTAATAGGTCAACTGACAATTAAATACTTATATATTGTGCTCTGTTTTCAGCAACGTTCACGGTCCTCAGCGGCGTGGGGGCGTTCTTTATCTGGTGGGTTGATACAGAAGTTAGTGCAGTGGCTCTGTCCTGTGTTATCCAGTTTATGAGTCTGGCAAACTGGAGTGCTATTGATGTGGCGTCTACTCTACTATATCCGACTAGTAAGAGGTACGTAATAACGATGTTTTTTCACGATGAATCGTATGCTACTGTTTTTTTTCCAAGAGGTAGTTTCCTAAAGCACCTAATTTACCTACGTTGCGTCAAATTGCATGTAATATTTCAGACATCATTACGTCATTTATTTATCACAGATCTGGACGAACATTTCTAGACATACATGTAATTTGTTATATTTGTATGTGATGAGTTTGATGAGTGATGAGATTTCATGGCTAGCCCATGGTCACAACTAAATTCCGATCCACCTTTGCGCCGTCATTTCTGTAAACACGTTATTTCACATACGTATCACACAGTAGCCTGGATACCCGGCCAGTGTTCTGTTGGTTAACCAACCCTAGCTAATGTATGGATCAGCTGCTAATATTTTGCTCATTGAATATGCAAATTGTTTTCAACGTCACGAAGAATGGGGCGGACACATTTTCATTGCTATACCATTGATATGCCAATGTCACAGCAAACAATTCGCTGACCGCGGTTGAACTTCGTTCGGGCAACCAGAATAAAACAATTAACGTCTTTTTTTTTTTTACTCTTATATTTATTTTCTATTTTCAGGGCCACTGCGTTTGGATTACTTTCTGCATTCTCGCGTATCGGTGGAGTACTCGGTAACGTCTCCTTCGGCAATTTCCTCCATGTCAGCCGAGCCATACCAGTTTTATTGTCAGCCGCCGTGTTCGGTATTGGTGGCATTCTGTCGTTAAAGTTACCAGACACCAGGAAATCACTACTGGTTTGAGCGACATTTTACTGAAATGATAGTTATATTTGTCATGTGTGATTAATTGTTATTGGTGTTACATCGCCACAGTCGTCGCACCGCGTCTTGTTCGTTATGTGTGGGTCCCATCCAACGTACATGACGGGCCGTGTGAAATACATTGTTTTTACGCGACAATGGAAATCATGACCAGGTCATGTTCCGGGACTGAGTAGGGGGGGGGGGGGTAGTCAAGTTTAACCGTTCATAACCATGCAATACTTTTTAAAACACTCTCGGATATAAGTAAATTGGAATTGGAATATAGCAAATTTCATTTTAGGGATGGACTTTTAAAAACTCTATTCAATTTTACTCTCATCCAAACTGCCCTTACAGTATAGATGCAAGTTCATGTGTAATCAGAGCCCCAAAATTTGTGTTTTTGCTTTAAGTTGTTTATACGAGATATTGTTGGCCACACGCTGTTAAAATGTCAATGCTCCACCATGAGTAGAACACACAGAAACAATTATTGGTTATTTATGTTTTTAGTATCCACGTTTCGATTTTTCAGTTTCCCCCATAATTTACGTCCATTTGATTTGACACTTTTCACACTATATGTGCGGTGCTTTCTCTCATAGAGGACATCGACTAGGTGTTGTGTTCTCTGAGAATGATATTACAAGTGTTAAATATTTAAGGAAGCTTAATTGTGTAGCTTACACCATGTTTTACCACGGTTTGACACGTCATCGCCAATCCTAGACGTCGATTGAGATAAACAAAACGTTGATCGAAAGTTTACTAAAAAAAAAAACTGTAGAAGTCATTTATAGTTGAATTCCTCTGACCAATTTAAAAAAAACGGGATGGGAGAATGGCTGCTGCGAATTTCATGAAGTTCATTTTAAAATTTATAAAACATTTAGCACGAAATATCCGTATGCTTCATTCGAATCAAAAGAACACTCGTCATTTGTTAAATTAGCCCAGTTTTGGTGAATTTATTTTAGTCATCAGTTGTGATTGATCCAATCTTGTATCGTTTGAAATAAAGTAAAACAAATCAATTTCTTATAAGTAATTTGCATAAACAGGACTGTCTAAATAAAAACAAATACATTTATTAAAGCTGCGAGCACCCACAAACCTGCATCTGTGCCTCAAATATTATAGACCATTCCCCAACGAATTTTCAACAAATGTTTTTAAAATACTCAGGCTGTACAACTACATCTGTACACTTGTGTGGGATGCATTTTCTACACTATATCTGAGAAAAAAATCCCTTTTAAAATATATGTGCTTTAATTTTGAAAACTATTAAATGTATTGAAAACAGTTTATATTGCATACATCGGGTAAACTGGTCAAAGAATGTGTATGTAAAGTCTATGTATAAAATAAAAAATAAAACAAGTTGACACACACACATTATAAGATATATGAAATATAAATATGTATATATATATAATAACATTATAAGCTGAAATTAACAACGATATATTTCTATTTCTAAAGTATCCCAGCTTTTTCCGTCTATTTTCAGTAGCAACGCGAAGAAAAAGACGGAGGAAGTTGTCGTAATTACTAAGCTGGATGTTTGTGTACATTGTTATGATATCGTGATGTGTAGATTTCACTATGTAAGTTTCTTTTCGTATTCACGTTTATATATATATTCGCAATATGGCTAATGTGTGTGATATCTTTTCGTATTCACGTTTATAAATGTATTCGCAATATGGCTAATGTGTGTGATATCTTAATAAAATCTGTATTTATTGTTATAGTATTCGCTAATAAATTCTTACCGAGGCACAACCGTATATTTTATTATCTATATCAGTGGTGTTTCATATAGTTGCGATATGTCATTCTGTAAACATTGATACAAGCGCATTTCACATCGAGATTTTTGCATTTTGGATTTATTCATTCGACGAATATTCTCGTTCAGGCTATACGAGGTCCAACGAGTTCTCTTCCATGGTGATCAGCATTTAAGAAATGGGTTTATTTTTTTTACAAAGTGTATTAACCGTTTGTCATATACAGATCCTGATTTTGAACTTTTGAAATTAGTAACTTTTTTTGACCCCTGTGATTATTGAAGGAAAGTGTCATAGTATTTTTCACGTAAATAAATAACTCTTATAATAACGTTTACGTTTCTTTTTGGCCTCAAATACAGATCAACTTCAAACATGCAATTAAGCATATTTAAAACGAAATTCACTCAAATTTTATTTTCGGCATCAATAAAACTAAGTTTCTGTCTTGAAATCTTAAAAAGTTGTCGGAGAATACGAGATACACTGATATAATTATTGTGGTGCACAGCTTCGAAACGGTCCGGTCCGAAACGTGTGAGTACAGCTACTTGTGTACTCTCTGTCATCCTCTGTTGAAGCATTAGCACGTGGATTTGTTGTCATACGTAGAAGTGGAAAGCGGGAAAGTTATTGTTGTTGATGATGCTGTGATACTGTGCAATATACGCCGGTAAAAGTAGCCGTGAGGTAAAGTTTTCATCCTTCAACTGAGACACGTACGAGAGCCACTGAAAGATATTCAATAAAAAAAACATACATTAATCAAATGTGTCTGTTAATGTATTTCTGATCTCAGCTGTTTCATATGATGCTAGAGGTTTATAGGATAACACAAGCCCGAGTTAAGTTGCTTTTAGTTCGAATACAATGAGAGGTTGAGTCAAGGTAAAGGATGCTGAATAAAAATAAATGATTATGCAATTGAAATACAAAAATTAAAAATACTAAGCACCTCTCTGCCGCGCCACCGCTGGAATTAAGTTAGCATCATATATATTACACAGGAGTTCACTCTATAGTCTTATAGTGTTCTATAAGGCCAGTTTACTCTAGTCTCGAAAAACCCACGAAATAATGGGAAGATTACCAGGCTAGTTTGACTCGGAGATGGAGTTACAAGCACATATTCATCTCGGATAACAGATATAACTCCATGTATCTTGAAAGATTATTTCCTTATGAACAAAAATTACCAATGAGTTCAACGAGCGACAAAAAAAAAGTGTCGAATGGTGTTTTCGATTGAGGCCGGCCTTCCAATATTTAATCATTTGAATATGTTCTATCAAAAATAACAAACAATTCATCTAATTGTTGGGGGGGGCAATTCAATATAAATTTACATATTTATTACTTCGAATGATGTATACGTGTTCTGCTCATGTCGTCTCTATTCTGAAATATTCTTTGGAAGTCTGTCCTTACTAGTATTCTACACAACGCAACCCTATCCAACCCACCACAGTCTCTGAAAGACGCCATTTGCGATTGGTCAAAACGATGGGTATCAACTTTTCAACAGAGCAGTTGTATAAATTTAATTTGAAAATTATAAAAGTGTTGGTTAATATAAATACAAAATTACACATTAAAGCAGATAATTTAATAACAAACCACCTAAAACAAAATGCGGATCGGTCGCATTAAATCAACACTAAAATATTTAACTGTCATTGCGCCCTCATACGCACAGAGTGATCAGAGTGAAGACGGCTCTCCTTCGTTTTTAGATTGATTGCGATGTGCCAGTTATCAAATAATATTACGAGTATTGTCAAGGAAGATATGTCTAGGGTATGATATTACTACTCTTTACCGTATTTCTGCGTTTTATGTCAAAAAAGTGGA